AGACAATGGAGAAGACTGAACACTTAGCAGCATCATTGAAAACAGGCCAGCAAGGACTGAAGGCAAGAGGCAAGCCCAGGCAACACAAGGAACAGCAAAGACGGAACCAGTACAGATGCCAGCAACCAACCAGAATCAATGCCAAGAGAAGTCAACGACAACAACAGCAGGGAGAGGAGTCGCAAGGCCCCAGTAAACAAGCGGGAACAGGTAGCAGCAACAGCAGCCTGGGCACATCAACTGCTTCCACAGGTGTAAACATTGAAGGGCTGCACTCGGGCTGGGCCAGTGAAAAAAGAGAGAGGAGCTCTTAAGTTAGGCAGGGTAACTTCGCAGCCCCACGAGAAAAGAACAAGAAGGAGCTCCGGAATAGGAAGTGTTTAAACTTTAAAGCTATACAGGGAAACAATGCCCTTCAAAGATGTATCAAAGGGATGGTGGACCCGGTTTCCAGCAGATGCAGCTCCCCACCAGTAGATGGAGCGGCCCGCCGGCCAAGACCTCAATTCTGGTGGTTCTCTTACCACCACTGGCATAGTGGGCTTGCAAATGGGCTTAAAATAAGATATTTTGAAAAAAAAAGTGTACTCTGTCGTCAAGGACACACTGATTCTTGAGCCTTTTCTTATCCTTTGCTTTCATCTTCTCCGCACTCCTTACTTTCCCTTCCTTTCTTTGCTTTGTCTTCTCTCCATCTCTTCTCTGTGTTTATCCCCTCCCCCTTTACCCCGCCTCTTTCTCACAGCGTACAAGTGGGCCGTTATGGCACACGGGGATCCAGGCAGCTGGCGCTCAACTTCATCAACATGGAGAGCCCTGTATGTGAGAGGCACATGAAAGGGGGAGTTTAAAGAAGAATTATAAAAATCAATGGTTTCAGTGTGCTCTTCATCTTTGTCTTGTATATTTTTATCACTTGTTTTGCAAAGTGCGCTCTTTTAGTTCATAGATATGTGACAATATATATAGTTATACGGTTATACCCCTTTGAACCCCGTTAAAACCTGTTATAGTAAATGTGAACCCCCCAACCTCCCTGAGTGACCCATCGCTGAGTTGAAGATAAGGCCAGATTCTGAGTTAGCAGGCCCTGTGCAAACCTGGCTTGAAGTGTGATTTTTTATTTTTATTTTGTTGGTATTCTTGCCTCTTTTTTTCCCTGGCCAGTTTTCCCAGGCAGGTTCTCCCGTGCACGCCTGGCTTGGGAGTGGCTGGCTGAGCGTGGCCGCCCAGGTGGGCAAACAACCCAGGAAAAATTGCCAAGAAGCTTGACTGATTATAGGGAAAAATAAAGGAATATGGATACTGCCATAATGGTAAATTAATTGTGCACTTGTTAATTGCAGGGTGATGGAAAATGCCATGTCATCGCAGCAGCATCAATAATCGCCAAAGTCACAAGGGACCGGATGATGGCTGAATTTGATAGGTGAGTACTCCGAAGCCAAGCTGCATCAATCACAAACCCTAAACCCTAAACCCTCAAACTCTAAGGCCTATATTTTACTGAGTGTGGGTCCACTGGATCAAGGATTGATTTCCTTGCTGGGGTGAGGGTGAAGGGTCCCACAATGGGTCCTCACTTTCTCGATCTGTCCATGTCATCGTTGAATGTGCAGGGCGCATGCCAGCATACTCTGTATCGTTCCAATTGTAATGTGTCCCAACGTTCCACTTCCACTCAGCTCAGTTTATACAACTTAACACACTATCGGTTAAGTCACCCGCCTCTTTGGTGGCAGGTCACATGTTCGATTCCCATGAGTGCATTTTGGACTTGGCTGTGTGTGAACAAAAAGAGCATAGTCCTTTGGAACTTTGTAAGTTGGAATGATACAGAGAAAGAAGATTAGCATGGCCCCTGTTCAAGGATGAGATGCATAAATCGAGAAAGCTCACGGGTTGAATTCCTACCATCTGTGTGTGTGTGTTTTGATGTGTGTGCTTCAATGCACCCCATGGCAAGTTACACTATGCCAGGTGTGATCTCCGATGACAGGTCATCGGCACACCTCTAGCTTAGGTAACATTCGCAAGTATGGTAGATTTTATCTGTAGTGGCGAAAAAACGGAATCTACTCGAGTTTCTGAGTAATCAGTCAGCTTCGAACAACAGAGAAACACATAAGGCAGCAAAACGACAACAACCAGTGGATAAGGCAAGTACCAAAAAAATATTAGGACAACGCATAGGTTGGAGGGCATTGGGGAGGCGGGAGGGCAGACAACACACCAGCACATAAGGCAGGGAAACGGCAACAACCAACGAATAAGGCAAGTACCAAAACCAAGAAAACTGAAAAAAATAAAAAATAATAAAAACTGATGATGATAGATTGTTTCGTCGGAATTCCACCAACTCATCAGGAGGCTAAACCCTCGACAATCTGCGGAATCCCCATATTTGATGGTTAGGGTCATGAACCCTTTGACCCTTGTTGGAGGCAGACTGTCCCCAAGAGGAACATAGCAGCGGGCAGCAACCCTGTGAAGCACCAGGTAACACAGTAGAGGCAACACGACTGCACAACGCCAAAAACGACTGCAAGGAACGATATGGCACGCAGCGCTGCAACAGTGTAGGGAAGCACAAGGCAACACAAACAAAGCAACAGCACTGCCGAGAACGACAGAGTGAGCGGACCAGCAGGTCGGCAACCGTGGAGCGGAGCACAAGGCACCATCAACAAGGCAACCAACCTACACGGCACACAAGCGGCAAGCACGGAAGGCACGGCCAGCGGATGAGCAGCACGGCAGCGGAGCAGCGAAGCGCAAGGCAACACCAACAACACGGCCACACCGCACAGCGAACACATCAACCTGGAAAGAACCACATGCGAAGCAAGCGGGACAGACAGCAGGGCAGCGGCGGAGCGCAGACGATGACGTCCACACATCCAACATGGAGCACAGCAGCGCATGACCTACTCACATCACGATTGAACCCCGCAGACTGTTGGTTCCCACCACCCACTGAGCCAGGGAGACACTCTGACGAGCATCCGTCATCACCCATAGGCAGCACAGACATCCCGAACCGAGCGGCCCCCCTAAGAGTTGGCACTCCAAACGAGGACCCACCGACTGTTTGGCACTACTTAAGGGTGCTCAGTTGGGCACACAGAAAATACTTAGAAAAAACTTAGAGGGAGGACAAGCAACAGGAAAAAGACTGGCAGATAGAAAACTGAATGTGTGTGTGTGTGTGTGTGTGTGTGTGTGTGTGTGTGTGTGTGTGTGTGTGTTTCAAATTTTCACCACAAAAGCCTCTCTTCCACCCAGATGAGTAGATCCGAAGCAGCTTTAGTCCTTTTGCAGATAACAAAAACACTTGAGTTGAGACAAAGCAACAATGAAACAGTTACCTTTATAGCAAGCAACACAGAGCAAATTATAAGTGTTTACATCCCTTTCTTCAGTTCACTTTGGCTTTTTTAGGTACCCATTTGATTTGTCCTTGCAACTCCCCGTTTACTGTGCCTCTCATGTACAAGGCTCGCCACATTGGTTGTCGTTGAGCGCAAGCTGCCCACATCCCCCTGTGCCATAACGGCCCACTTGCACGTTATGAAAGGAGGCTGAAGTATATTCTTGCTCGTCTTTCTTTAGATCTTCAGCTTATTCCGAGCTTTGAGCCCTCGCAAAGGCCTTGAGGCAGAGGCACCCGACAGCCCAAGGGGCCTCCAGCATGCCTCGTGCCCGCCCTAAGTGAAGGCGGGCCTGCATTATGTCACGAGGCCTTTTTTTGTCATTTCTGCTTTGTGGGGCGCCAGACAGTTTCCATGCGTCAGTTGGTTACAAGGCCACGCCAGTGTGTGAGCACGACATACCGAGCCTCTGGGCTCACTCAACATTGGATGTGGCCAGAGGCTCTCGGCCAATGAGAAGCGAGGCAGCGACGTGGTCGGAGGCCCGTAGGCCAATGAGAATCTAGCGAGTGACAGCGGCCACGTCGCACAGTTGGGCGGCTTAACTGCTGCAGCCCAGCAACTGTCTGAATGGGCCTGGGCGCAGACACTTTGGCCCATCGTGAAGCTACTGGGCACATGCACGCCAGGCCCGGGCAGCCAGGAGCTGGGCCGCACTTTCCACATAGGAAAGTGCCTCGCCCAGCAAAGGCACATTCTGGCAGTGCGCTTGCAGGTGGCCACACTGCTGCACTGGAGCGCTAGCCAGAGGGTGCACGCAGGCGCTAGTGGGAAGAGGGGCGCTGCGGTGGCAGCGGGCGCACAGCAGCCATAGCCAGGCTGCATGGGCGCATGCTGGTGATGGTGATGGTGGTCTTACGGTGAAGGGGGAGCACACAGTGGGGAGACAGGGGTGAGGAGAGAGGCGCTGAGCGCCAATCAAGAAGAGCGACATTGGATATTATGTTGGTGTGGCGAGAGAGTGTCGACATTGACATTTGAGTTCATTGTATTGTTCTTATTCGGATGGTATCTTGGTGCATTGAGCTTTCTGCTTGGTACACGACTATCTGGACTTCAGTGTGATATTGCAATTTGGTTTCCTGTCTATCGCTCTCGCTCATTTTCCTTGCATTATATTTTGTCTGTTCTCTTAATGGTGCTCATCCATATGCATTTACTGGTTGTACAGAAGAGGAGTGAGGAAAGAAATAGGATGTGGGGTTCTCACAGGGTTCTAAATACTCACCACTGGAGCAGACTACTCTAGAATGGCAGATGAAGTCAGTCAGTGTTTGGATTGCATAAGATTTTGAGTTGAGGAGCAGCCGTTGCCTATGCTAAGTGGCCACCCCTACAGACCGGACAGCACCGCTTCGGGTGTGGACTGTGGAAGCACCACATCCAATTCCCGCCGTCAGTTGCTGCATCGAATGGCACAGCATAGACAGTCGTCGCAGGCCGCGTGGCTCCTACATGCTAGGAACACGATGGCACACCAACCGCAATTGTAGAGGCATTGCCATTCCAGCCCCTGTCTACTGATTGGACACAACATATCAGGGTGTCGTACATGAGTGCAGTATTGACTGTCATCATACGTATGAAAACAAAAACTCGCATGGGCTATCCCTTCATAATCTTCACGGCACAAGGCATGTGAACCACATGCTAGCCGAATCTCAGGTGGGTCATCACAGAGCGGCATTGAGCAGGTTTCCTCAGTATTTATTCCTTCTCTATGTGCAGACGACGGGGATTGATCCAAAGCCAGGGTGTTCCGCTGCTGCAGGATTTGGTGTGCAACAACTCGCCCTGGTGGTGATAACCTTTCACTACAGTGCTCTGTAGGTGGTTCATATGGTGGAGTCTATTTTCCTCCTCAGGCTGCTGCACCTGTCGTTCGTCTAGCAAGGACGAGGTTTGATCCTACTGCAATTGCAGCAGGTGTGTGCCCAACATTGCATGTGAGACATGCTAAGAGAGGGTGTGGTGGATGATGGCATCGGGGATAGTCCACGCTGTGTGTGTATGTGTGTGGGTCCCAAGAAGTTCCCCAAGAAAAAGAAGAAGAAGAGAAGAAGAAGCTGCACAGCAGATAGACATGATTAGGGACCCACAACGACAACAACAACACGCAACTATGACAATGTGGCCATGGGGATGGTGCAACTGAATGGCAGAGCAACAATGGGGCACACAAGGCACAGGGGGTTGGTGACAATGCAGGGCATTTGAGTCCACCATGCCCTATTGCGTGCCAAAAAATCCCAGATCTGAGCCACTGATCTGCCAAGATCAGCAGCCTACATCCACCCAAGGCGCAGGGAGTTGATGCTGTTGTGGCAACGAGTGCGGAGCATTCGACTTGAATGCCCCCACCATGCCCTATTTCAAATATTTTTGCCATCTAAAAAAGTACGGTCTACAATAAGTCGTGTAATATTTTGTCTATGGCCTTGTTTTCGACGCATCTTTTTTTTCGAATGCATTCTATAAATAGTAACTTTGTCATCACGGTAAGAATGTAAAATGCGACCTTTTACTATTGCGTGCCATGGCGGATCTGGGCCACTGATCTGGAAAGATCAGCAGCCTGTGTGTGTGTGTGTGTGTGTGTGTGTGTGTGTGCCCTGCTGATGATGGTAGGTCCCGAGGCCTGGTACAAACGTGTGGCCATGTGAGTGCAGGGCGTGCAGCAGGTAGAGTAGGGAAAAGGAGGCCCATGGAGGCCAAAATCAAGTAGCAGGGGGTATGTAGCAGAAAAAGATAAAAAGGTAGTACCTTTGGGTAGGCCGAGGTAGTATTCTAAAGGCCCGGTAGGCTAAGGGGTAGGACTGAGTAGGGTACCAGCCTGAATCTACCGCCTGTAGGGGGAGATATCAGATTGCAGTGATGTTCCCGCCAAAATGGGCTGGGAAACCGGTAGTCCAGGAGGCCGTGTGGCCTGGAAGTCACCGCTGTGGAGTGCAGCGGCCGGAATAAAAGAAGAGGCGACGCTGTACTCTGCCTAATTCTC